CGCCTGCGCCTCCATCTTCAGCAGCTGCTCCACGGCCACCTGGGGGAGAGGACAGGCTGTGCGGGGGCCACGAAGGGCCGGCCCGCGGGGTATTGCAGGGGGGCGGGGCGCCCGCTCACTCACCAGAATGGCGCCGTAGACCTTGTGCCCGTCCGCTTTCACCTGGGCATTGGATACGGAGTAGTCATCCAGCACGGCCTGCAGGTTCGTCCAGTAGGTGGACAGATGTGGGTACAGGACGCGCTCCACTGCCTGGAAGAGAGAGGGATACAGAGGGCCTCTTGGTGGCTGATCGCCTCCAATGCCCTTTCCCATGAAAGTCCTACTTTTATCCCTGTTACTGGACAGGGCTCCCTCCTCCTAAATTCCCTGCGTGGCATTCTCAACCAACATTTATTTGGAACCTGTGTGCACAAGCCTTCACTGAGCCCTGGAAATTTAGATGGGTACAAAAACACAATATAAAGTGATCTGCTACAACTAACACGCACCATGTCACTGACATGAGGGCCAAGAGGGTATAAGTGATGCCCAGGGCTAACGGGAGGAATTTAGGTGCCAACTGCTCCCTGTACACACAGTACTGTCCTCGCCTGGATGTGAACGGGGTCTCGGCTCAAACCACAAAAACAAGTCAGAGTCCTGGACTCCTGATGACAGAATTTTAAATCCTGAAGTCAGTTTGCAGAAAGCAATTAAGACTTCACAGCGGAGGTTATGTTTCTGTGGGGCTCTGATGGGTAAGAGCCTTCGGTGAGTCATCCACAGCCTGAGGATCTGAAAATACTGGCAGAACTGACAAGCTCCGAGAAAAATATGACTTGCTGCAGACAAGAGCTATGAAAGCTTAAAAAATTTTGTAACTGCAGTAATTACAAATCTAACGACAAAACACCACGCCAAATTTGACAAAGTCTACAGACACTCAAGAAATGAGTGTCTCAATCTTATTAAACCAAATATAAAAACGGAATACCTCCCCCACATTCTGTAAAGCCAATGTAAACCTGGCCCTAAAACCACACAAGGACAGTACATAAGCGAACACATGGCTAATTTCATCATGAATGTAAGGAAATCCTTTAAAATGTTAGTAAACTCACCAGTATATAGAAAATGCACTACATTCTAATACTGTTTAAAGACTATATACCATGAGCAAATTGAGTATATCCCAGAAATGTACATATCGTTCACTAAGAAACTCTGTCTCTAAGCCTCCCCCCACCCCGCCCCGACACTGAGACTGGGCAGCCACTGGGCAGATCAGACTCCTTGAACCCCACTCCCCCAGCTCTGCAACCACAGCTGACAAACCCAGTGTAGCTGAGACTGAGGGATTTGATAAGTTGAAACTGAAGACAGAAATGCAAGAGAAAAACCCACTGCCTTCAAAAGAAAAGAACTACTGACAGGAAAGGCTGCACCTGCCTCTCCCATCCGCCTGCCTGGCTGGCAGGGAAGGAAAAGAACTTGCATGTTGGCAAAGGAAGAGGCTGGGTGCGACTAGTGAAGTTTAGAGTAAAAACAAAAACATGCAGGTTCAGGTGTCTCTCTGTCGAACTGTGACCTCTTGGTTTATAGGTCAATGCTTAACCACTGAACCACACCAGCTGGGCTGCACACAGGACTTTTGAAAGGATAAGACATTTATATACAGAAGATCAGTGAACCAATGTCACCCCAATCTATATGTATAAAAGGCTAAGTGACCAACCGGCCAACCGACCATCCGGTACATGACCCTCGCTGGCAATTTAAAAATAAACGTTGACCTAGTGCACAAATTTGTGCACATTGAAAGGATATTAATTATAAGAATTATCTTACTATCACTATCCTCCCTTTCTCTATGATAGAAGTGTCAACCAAATTCACTATTGACAATGACAGATCAAAACACAAGACTGGCGTCAGCAAGAGCTTTATATGTATTGCGTATGCGCAAATCAACTTAGCCTTTTATAGATATAGAATAAACTTGCTTAATTAGACCTGCTTTCTGATGTAGCTAAACTTTTTCCAGCCCAGTGAAGCACCCCCCCAACTTCTCTTTCAGGTAACTGTCAGCAACACAGCAGTAAACACCTGGCTATAAAGCAAGTTGTGTTCGTGGGCTAAAGAAACTCCAAGGAGGCTAGTCATCACTACGGAGAGGAAGCTGGGCATTGCTACATGATGTCATTACCCGGTCAGACACTCAGCATATTAGCCTTTTATATATATAGATTTCTTCTACTTAATTTCCTTTCAATGTGCACGATTCCATGCACCAGGCCACTAGTAAATTCAATAAAAAAGAAATAGTCCTGTCTGGTTTGGCTCAGTGGATACAGCATTGGCCTGCAGACTGAAGGATCCCAGGTTTGATTCCAGTCAAGGGCACATGCCTGGGTTGCAGGCTCGATCCCCAGTGTGGGGCGTGCAGGAGGCAGCTGATCGATGATTCTCTCTCATCATTGATGTTTCTATCTCTCCCTCTCCCTTCCTCTCTGAAATCAATAAAAAAATGTATTTTTTAAAAAATAAAGAAAATAAACAAGCACTGGCCTGTGTTGCTTAGTTGGTTGGGGTGTCCGTCCTGTACATGGAGAAGCCACGGGTTTGATCCCCAGTAGTTCTCTCTTATCAGTGTGTCCCTCCCTCCCTCCCTCCCTTCTCCGTTCCTCTCTAAAAAAAATAAATCAATAAAAATATATTTTTCAAAAACACAAACTTACCCCCAAAATATAAGTAAACAGAAAAAAACAGAAGAATCTAATAAATTTGGACATAACCATAAAAGAATAAAAGGCCATCACTGAGCCTGGCCCAAGGCAAGAACTCGGTGCACAGCAGCAGCAAGCATACACCATTTATGATAAAAGACACACAAGTACCATTTTCCTAATGACAAATGGCAGCTGTAAAGGCGGTGAGAAAGGCCAGGTCCTCACCTTCCAGCCAAGGGCGTGCAGCCCCACCACAGCCCCGTAGTGAGAGCAGAGCGGCCGCACAGGGTCTGCCAAGACCTTCTGCAGGGACAGCAGGATCTGCTGATAGAGGCCACTGACAAGGTCCCCATGAGTCCTGTGGGAGCAGCATGCAGTCAGAGGGACGGAGGCAGCGCCTGCCCAACACGGTTCCAGTCACAGCACGTGGAGAAAACGGCACCTGCATGGCCCTGGGGGGGTGAACGAGGGCCCAGGGGAGCTGCCCGGGACCTGAGGCGAAGGACCAAATCCTTGGTATGTTGTCACCCACCTGTCGCATCCCAGTGCACCACGGCACACTGCGTGGGAAGCTCCCAGGGAAGGGGCTCCCCACCTCTCAAAACACGGCCTCCACGGCAGAATGGACCCCATCTCCTCCCCCAACCCACTCAGCTCTGCAGGCCCCACCCTGTACTCCGCTCGAGGCCCAGTGGCTACCAGAAGATGTGGCTGAGGAGGAGGGCGGCACCATCCCGCAACGTCCAGTGGTCATTCAGGGGGTTGATGGAGGCAGCCAGGGGCTCCAGGACGCAGTAGAGGACACTGCCCACCAGAGAGCGGACATAGGGCCCCAGGCAGAGGTGCGGGTTCCGAACCAGGCTCCGGGCCACTTGCAAGAGCCGGTGCAGCTGCTCCAAATCGTGGCTCACAGACTTCACCTATTGGGGGGAGAGGATGGCTGAGGGGCACAGGAGGGGGCCCAGGAGCCTGCATTCTGAGAGCACCTTCCAGGAGCCCCACAGGCTGCTGGCTCACTGCCTCCCACCAAAGGTCCGCCCCGGCCCCGCCTGCTCACTCACCCCACTGACCACATAAACAAAGTACGGCAGGAGCGCTGCGATCTTGGAGTTGGTCTGCAGGTCCTGGAGAGCAATCTGAAAAGGAAGGGGCAGCCTCACTGGACCCACCACACCCACTACTGGGGATTGAGCCTGCAACCAGGGCAGGTGCCCCTGACGGAATCGAACCTGGGACCTTTCAGTCCGCAGGCCGACACTCTATCCACCAAGCCAAACCGGCTAGGGCAGAAGCCAACTTTTTTTAAAGGACAGTTTAGCACTGACGTATTAAAGTTTTAAATGTTTATACTTTTTGATTCAGCAATTTAACTTCTATAAATTTAACCCACTATAAAAGAAACCCACACACAGCACAGTCTGTACTGATCAAAAATTGGCCCCAGCTGGCATGGCTCAGTGGTTGAATGTCCACCAATGAACCAGGAGGTCACGGTTCAATTCCTAGCCAAAGCACCAGCCTGGGTTGCAGGCTCAATCCCCAGTGTGGGGTGTGCAGGAGGCAGCCAATCAAGGATTCTTTCTCATCATTGATGTTTCTACCTCTCTCTTCCTCTCTGAAATTAATACAAATATAGTGGAAGAGAGAGGGAAAGACAGACAGAAACATCGATGTGAGAGAAACACATCGACTGCTTCCTGCCTGAGCCCTGACCAGGGCCCGGCCAGGGAGGGGCCTGCAACCAAGATACATGCCCTTGACCAGAATCAAACCTGGAACCCTTCCGTCCACGGGCCAATGCTCTACCCACTGAGGCAAACTGGCTAGACTAGAGCTTCATTTCACTTATTGGGGTGACGCTGACTAATGAAACTATACAGATTTTAAGTATACGATACATCACCTATAATACACTGCATTGTGTGCCCACCACCCAAAGTCAAATCTTCCAAGATATTTTTAACTGAGAAAAGCAGCTGTCCTAAAACCGGGCGTTTTGGTAGAGCCCCGTGGGCCTGTACTAGAGCAATCACTGTTCATACATAGACAGAAGGTGGGGGTTCCCCAGGAGACTCTCACTTCCTACTTTGTATGTCTTTATGGTACAGTAGTTCCACTTTAAACATCTGCTGCCATTACTAGAGTCAATGAAGAAAATGTTGTTACCCAGCACCTCCGCCACCTGTGCCCTCCAAACCCTCTGGATGAAGTCCCAAGGCTACGGCTGGGGAAGCAGATGTCAGGCCCGTGGGGAGGGCGTCAGCTCCCAGGCCCGCAGCTGGCCCTGCCCTGTGCCCGGGGAACAGGAGCCAAGCCTGTGAGGCAGGAATGGATGGGAGCAACATTCCTCATCTTCAAGGGAAAAACAACAGCAGCCAGAGACGTGAAGACGTGGAGGATGGAAAACCCTACAGCAGAGGCCACGTGGTGGAGCAGCCACCAAACTACCCTCACACTTGGACAGACAGGACGCACGGGCACCGCCCAGCAGGCCTCGGAGCCCCAGAGCCTAACGCGGCAGGAGCTGGTCTGAGGCCTGGGGCGGTCTCAGAGCGGGCCTGGCTCCCTCTCCTTCCTCTGCCCCCGACCGCTCACCCCGACCCACCCCGACCCCAAGTCCGGCAAAGGAGTTGCAGTGTCGATGTCCCTCCCGGCCCCAGGCCCACAGACACTCCGAGAGATGGCTCTGGACTGAGGTGTGAGGAGGCCCCCCCGGGCCCTGCTGAGCTGCCCATGCCCTAAGGAGCAGGGCTCCTCCTGGCCTAGGAGGGGAGTGGGCACTGGAGGAGGCCCGGGCTCAGAGCAGCACAGCCCGGGAACAGCTCCCACACACGGCAGCCGTCAGCGAGCAGAGGACAGGGAGTAGGCATCCGAAAGAACTTCATGAGAATTCGGAAGCTGGACTTGGTGTCCCAAATGGGGCCCCACTCACTACCTTCATCAGCTGTGGGTCGTCCCCCAGGACAGCGCGAGTCACTTGCTGGTAGTACTTGAGCAGGTCATCGGTCAGTGAAGACACAGCGCTGGGCACTGCGAGACGATGGGCAGGAGGTGGTCAGGGTGGAGTGCCCAGCCCGCTCTCGGCCTCCCTTGCTTGCTCCTCACAACCACCATCCCCACCCCACCCCCAGGAGCCTGTTCAGACAGGACCCCCAGAGCACAGAGCCGCCAGCCCCGTGAGCTGCCTGACCTTGCAAGCTCTCACCACTCTGTGCCAGCGCTGCCCCCACCCCTCCTCTGCCAGGCAGATTCCCGCTCAGCCCTTAAGCCCCGCTCTGCTCAGCAGGCCCTGGAAGTGAGGCACAGGCCCCAGGGACCCTGCGTGCTGTCAGACTTCCGTGCTCGCACCCAGCACGCAGCATCACGGCTGGTTACAGGAATGAGCCCCCATCTCCAGCTCTGAGCCCTCTGGGCAGGGACCAGTACCCACTCAGAACCAGGTGTCGACAAGTATTTGTGAGCTGAAGTCTCAGGGGGGTAGAGACACCGCCCTCAGCTCCTGCGGGAGGAGAGTTTGACCAGGGGCCCGCTCCCCACAGCTGCCTTACCCGATCCTTGAGGCGCCAGGTTCCCTTTGCCGTCCAGGTAGGAGACATGAACTAGAACCAGAGCAGAGAGAGGGCTCAGCTGGGGCTTTGCCCTCGTCGCGCCCCCCGACCCCCAGTTGTGCTCCACCCACCAGGCAGCCCAGCACCACTCCCTGACAGCCTCGCTCTCGCCCGCTCCACCAGGGACTGCATTCACCTCTCACCGCCGTCTCGGCACAGCCTTTGGGGATGTTGGTGGCCAGGGCCAGCTCCACCAGGTTCACCTCCCGGTCCTCGGGGAAGTAGAGCTCGCCCTCCCTGACGGGGCGCAGGGGCAGCGCCTCCTGGGCTCCGCACCCACACACGGCCTGGCAAAGAGAGCGGAGCGCAGGCTGACGGGGGGAGGGGGCTCTCCCGC